AAGAACAAAACGTAGAATCAATTATCATTATGGCCTCATGTTTGTCATTCTTCAGAGTTACCATATATTATAGTACTGTATTGGTATTGTAAATTACCGTAGCTAAACTACACTGTTCTTGTTCAAATTTACAAAATTATTACCTCAAATTTACAAATTGATTACCTCATGCTGTGGTGATTGCATCTTATGGCAGTTTATCTAATACAAGAATGTGTACTTTATAGTTGAAATAAACTATGATGATGTACCCACTTGCGATCTATTAACCAAATAACAATTAGTATAGTGATGTGATAAGGGACCACTGTAATTAAATAACTGTAGTGATCTACAGTGTTCATTGGCAAACTACAGAATGTACAGTACTTTTTTTTAGTTAGTGTTGATGAATTGTTTCAGCGTTGTCTTTTCAGTTCTTTTAATAAGTGATTCACTTTGTTATGTTACAGATGTAAGCCTTCCTAGATCTAGGCTTCATTCATAAATGTTGAGGTTCATTGCACGTGCATTTGGCTGGGCCTAGCAAAGAGATAATTTTCGCAGTGCAATCCGCAGCTTTGAGCTTTTTGCACACACCTCGCAAAATATAGCATCAACAGTTGAACTTGCCTAAGTCTAATCTAAAATTACATTGAAAAATTGTTCAACACTTAGTTAAAAATTTGTCTAATACAGATTGTTAATTAATGGAAAAACACAACAATTTGGCATGTAAAATATAATCGACTTAGAAATTATTCAAGTTAGGCAAAGTTAACTTAAGTTTAACTGTATATAAAAAAATAATGTAAACTTGAAAATGATGATGTCACAACCATCACAACTAACTTATAAATTAAATCTTATTTCAGTAAAGGATGTCTCAATCTACTCTGCTACAAGAAGTTCAAACTTGGGATGAGAAGAGGTGCAAAGAAGGGGTTGATGATGCATTACCACATCTCATAATATCCTTTTTTTATGAATTGTACTTGACAAAGATGTGCACACAAATGAACTGGAAGAAATACTATAGCAGTAGAGTTGGCATGGTTTTCTAGTAATGTCTGTTTTAATGTAAACAAATGTTTTCATTAATATATTTCGATTTTTGTTTAATATAGAATTGCTAATAAAGATGTATTTTTAATATTTTTGTATCTTTACTTCACTATTTCAGCGTTTGGCGGCTGTTTCTAATTTTATGTCTTTTATTCTGAATAAATAAATAAACAAATAAATAAATTAATTAATTTTATTAATTTTTAGGTTTTTTTGGCTAAAGTATTATAATTATTGTTTTCTAAAATATATGCTAGCTTTAACCAATAAATTATAGATTATCATATCTTGGTTTGCATTTTTTTTTAATTATTACATAAAATAGCCAAATGAAATTAATACTTCAACAAAACCTGTTCTCAATAGCAGTAACCAGTCAAATTTGGCATTTGTCAAAGAAGGCCAACGGGACTGGGCTCTCCAATTGATACAACATTATTTGACTTAACTGATTATTACTGCGACTTTACTAATGGTACAATGTCTGATCAACGACTTACAATACTAAGGGCACTGGCCTCTTCATTTCTGCCTGTCATCAACATATCGGAATTTCAAGATAAAGTATTTGCAAAGGTTTTACCAACAGTAAGTAGAGGATTGGTGGGGTTATATGTTTTTCATTAAACAGAAATGATGTTCTCTGCTTTGGAGGAAATTTTCAAGTACATAACAAATGTTGCACAATCTCATAGATCCGATATGTTTTTCTTTTTATTTGTATGTTACTGTAGGTAACCAAGTTATTTGATGACTGTGTTGACAATATACAGTGCTCCTTGAAAGGTTCACCCAATGACTGCCAAGAAGCAAGTGTGGTTCCACAACTCAAAGTAGGCTTCACCATGATCATGTTATGGTATACAAATACAGTCCACCCACCAATTCGAGGCCACTTTGGGGACATGAAATTTGGGGTCTTGGGGTTCGGTCTCGAATTAGGAACTTCTAAATAGAGACCACAGGCTAAAAGTGGTCCCCTCTAGTAAGTTAAAGTCCCGATTTGTTCCGATTATCGTCTGTAGGCCCTAAATATTGCAAAACAACTGACTGAGATTCGGCTAGTGAATGCAGAAGTAAACACATGCCTAGCAAAACAGAGAAAATAAAAGTCATTGTTTTTCCATCAGTCTAAAATATGGATTGATATTCAACTGTGTCTGCAAAAACTGTATTATCTATGTTGTTAGAGTTTTTGAGACCGGTAGTTTCGAATCCCAGGCATTTATTGAGTGAGTCGGTTTTGCATTGAAATAGCCGTTTATATAATTACTGTATCAAATTAGAGGTGAGTACCTGATTCTACAGGTTATTGCAAAATGTTTACTGAATTTTTTTTGTGGAGAATTAACAATAATATACTCTCAAAAACTAAGTTAATTAGATCTTTTGTGATTCACAGCCAATGGCCTAAAACGACAATTTTTCTTTTCAAAAAACTAACTTTAAAAAAAAAAATGCACAAAAAGATAAAAGGGAATAATGTAAACCTAAAATATCTTAAATTTATCGATAAACTTATAAAAATACATCTGTTACTGTTTAAGTTAAATTTTTCAAAGTACAGATTATTTATTGCTAATAAACAAATGTGATCTTGAATTGGAGGTCGTTTTGTCACCTGGTTACCTGTACTTTCATAAAAGTGGTCTCTGTCTCTAATTAGGGATTGGCAATCAGAGTTACAATACTGAGATAGGCAAATTAATTTTTTTTTTGGTCCGATGACCTTGGGAGTCGGGGAAAATATCCTCCCTGACCACTCTGGCGCTACCACTGTTCCTAACAAGTGATTGATTACTAAAAAGTTATTGATTTGTATTGACTTATAGGTATTGATGGACATTGTTGACAACATGGTGTTATTCGTTAGTTGTGCTTCTAAGTCATCTGAAGTCAGGTTTGGCTACATCGCATCGCTTCCCCCATCTGCTGTTCATGTGGTGAAGGGATCTTTTGAACACTGTAAGGTAAGTACCAGTATTTATGAAAACTGTCTACGCTGTTTTGAAAGATATGGATTCAGTATCCACAATCAAACAGTGCTTCTCAGAAATTTCTTTTTAGTCATTACAGGTTACTATATATTTAAATATCAATAATTGAAATATTTATTATTATTTGTTAATAAGAAGAATAATATTTTTGGCATTTTTTTTTAATATTAAAAAGCCCTTAATTTTTGCCCTGGCCATTTTGAGTTGAATAGCTTATTGGCCTTCAAATCCCAGGGTCTTTGGTTCAATTCCTCTGAAGACAGTAAGACTTATTCTCATGATTCCATTTCCTAAGCCTTATAAAGAGACTTCGCTGCTAATGAAGCATCATGTCATTTCATTTATTTAAGAAGGCCCCTGAATATCAGCCGACCTTCTAAAATAATCTGAAAGGGTCACACTCTATAAATATGGTAAAAAAAAAAATTCAACAGTAACAATTTTCAATCTCATACAACCAGTGGAGCATTCTACTATTCTACAAAGTAATAGCCTAGGGACACTATATTGCCAATGATCAGCATTGGATTCAAACCTTAAAGATCCAACCAAACGGGTAAAGTCAAAAGCAAAATTACTGCACTAATCAAACTCACCTATAGGTTGATGTCTATAGTAAAATAAGACCTGGAGCTTCCTAAAAGCCCTCTCAAGACTATCAAATGTTATTTGACAAAAGCATGTGACATGCCTAAATATAGTCATGATGACATCGCATCATGGCCATATATAGCAATATCATAGCTATATATGGGTATACAACTGTTTTTAGAAATATAATTTGAGAGTCTGGCACAAGGCTTTCGTGAGCAGGATTCTAAGAAGCTACCTTTCACTGTCTACTTTTTATCATCAACAGGAGAGTAACACTTTGTATGGGGATCTTTTTCAAGATGTTTCCGAGCACCTGATGCACTTGTTCAAGAAGGCACACCAACTGCAGAAGGCACTGATGTCCTTAATGGACCTCCTGCCACTCACCTCTGACACACCTGATGAATGCATTGAGGGCTTTGTACAAGGTAATGATAAGAAATTATTATGCTGTCTAAATTTATTTTACAGGTCTCCCTCCAATTAAAGACCACTATTGGGACCAGGGGGTTTTCCTGGTCTTCTGATAGCAGCTTTTTTCTTTAATTAGAAAAATTATTATAATAAAGATAAAAAATAGGCATTTCTTGGGACTACGGAAATATGTATTTTTTTTATTGATCACGTTTGTGAAGAAATAATTTTCAATAAAGATGTCCTCTCTGAATGACATGTAATGGGTTTCAAAAATTGTATTTACACACTATTAACATTATGATCGACATACTACCTTGCTGTTGGAGAGCACCAATCAAAGCCAGTAGTTTGCTTAAATTGTGGTCTTCAGCTAATTAACGGCAGCTTTAAAACTTTATTTATATTGACTTAAACAAAACCACTACTTTAGTACCAAATTGTTTAGCTTCAAACAAAGATCCCAAGGCAAAGGACAATTAAAAAGAAAAAAATAATTTACAAAAAATTGCTAAATTGAATATACGAAACTGTCCCACAAACCACCCCTTTTGACAGACACGCAAGATCTGAGATTAATCAAAGTAAAAAAATCAGTTGATAAAAAGTATGACCAAAGTTGGAACTGCCGACTCAACCATCCAGAGACAGGTCTAGATCTATGTATTGCATTTTATATGAACTAAGACCTGTCTGATCATTAAAATGAAGAATTATTGTTCCTTGACAATGTTTTTTTGAAATATTTGTTAAGTGCCTTCTTTTTAACTAAAGTAAAGTATTCTTTGATGTTATTTTTTTTCTGTATGATTTTAGTGTGTTGTGCCTTCCATGATGTCTGTTGCATTATTGGTAAGATGGACTCAGCACTGATGGTGGCGACATGGAAGTTCCTAGTAAAGTTGATCACAAAACGCAAAGAATATATGCAATATAAACTTGATGTAAGTTCGTAAGAGTGCAGTTGTTACACTAGCCATAGGCTACGGTATGCAGGATTTCACATTATATATTTTCATCTACAGTATTGCCACCAACTGTCAATTATTGTATAAAGAGTACTACAGTGTTACTTCACGATACCATGTGATACTACTCCATTGCTATCGGCAACACAAAATGCGTTCAACCGATGCCATTTTCTCCACTGAAAAAACAATTGATCCCAAATTATAACGTAATTATTAAGAAGTTGTATCTTAATTTTCCTTTGTAAATGTTAAAATGTGTGTTCGATAACTAATAAAATGTGAGCTTTTTGTGTTTTTAGTACATTTTGATGGTAAATTATTAGGTTTTAAAATTACTATTCCATAAGATTATGAAGTCATTCAGGCATAATGAACGGCTAACCAACGTCCAGAGGGCGCCACCTGGTGTTGTGACGACACGACTGTGGTACTCTATGAAGGCTTTCTCTTAATATGCACCTTATTCCCTGATTTTCTTTTACTTTGTTGTTAAACACCTGGAGGTTGTCTTAACGTGAAGTGCTATAAGTCTAGAATTATTATTATTGTCATCGTCACCATCATTGGTTATTTTTTACTCAACATAAAACCTACCTATTTTCGTGAATTTTCGCTAATCTGTTTTCTGTTCTTTTTATGGGATTCTTCTGCAGCTGTTTTTCAATATTTCTTTTAGCGCCGGTGGCAAGTTATTTTTTTAATTTAATAGGCACTTTATAAGTTTTATTGCATTATTATGTGTTGTTATTATAATCATTGTCATCTTCATAGTCATTATTATTATCATCATGAACAAGATCCATCATTGTTTATTATTGTCTGTTTTCATCTAGGTTTCAGCAATGGTGAGCTCTCTGTGCTCTGACATACAGAATCACTTTGAATCCTGCTTGGATCAAGCCCCAAGCTCTAACCCCTCCCATCCATCTGGTGATGAGAAGGCCTTTCAACGAACCCTCAAGATCTGCCACTTGTCAGCGAAAATGCTGGTGCATCTTCTGAAGGAGTACCGGCAGCTTGCTATGCTTAAACCTATGACTCTCTACGAGATGATATTGACATTCTACAGGTAAATATGTTGTGTTTTTTATATGTTTGACACAGAAATAAAGATATAATATGCATGTTTGGACATTAAAAGGTTAATAGGTGCAACACTTTTTTATGTCTTGTTTAACAAAGTAGTACAGCTAAAAGCATCTTGGTGGAGAAGAAAATAAAATGTCTTTAGTTTGAAACTGTATCGTACTAATTATTTCAATTTAAAAAAATTCATATACCATGTGTACTTGCATATAAGACGAGGCTTAAAACAGGAAATTACAATAAAAAAAAAACTAGGGGTCTTTAATAAGCACGACATACAAATTTTAGATTTTTAAAATCATGTTCGTCTTATGTGTGGATCGTCTGTAACATGCAAATTTACTACTGAAATGAAGCTACTAAATGTTAGTATAAATGAACTCATTTTTAAGTATGGGGAAATAAGATTTCGATTTTTAATAATAATGGTATTATTTGGAAGATTAGACTTGCATTTGGTTCTGTTTTTAGCCAGCTAGTTGCAGTATCAGAACCATAAAAGTAGAAAAACAGAAGGAATTCTGACCATGAAACAGGGGGTCTTAAACTTGGGAGTCATCTTTTACGTGGATTGCCTTATACGCGAGTATATATAGTTTTCTTTATGTTTCTCATGTATATTAAGTTTAGTAATGATTTGTTTACTGTTTCTTAGACTGCATTGAATGTTCTGAGTACCAATCAAAAATGTTTATTTGTATTTATCTCTTTATTCTGAATACAAAAATAATATTTAAGGATAAAAAGACAATTATATTAAATATATAAACAATCAAACAAAAAATAAACAAATACTCATTCAAACATTTTATACAATACAATTATATTCAAAATAATCGCATGGAAGTTATTCTCTAACTCTGTCATGATAATAAAAAAAAAGATTGTAAGATACCTTTCATGACAAGATGTCATCGAAAGCTCCCAGAAACTAAACTATAACTCTGAAAGGTAACTTACACTCTTTTTTTTATATTCAATATATTGTATTTCTGTTCAACCAAATACTTAAGAAAAAAAAAAAAAATCACATTAATAAATTTTAAAAATTATTTTTCAAATATTTTGTTCTCATTTGCATTTGAAGTAAAAGTTCGCCCAGCCTTGATGCACCAGACCTAGCCAAACAGTCACATGAAGGTCTCAAGAACTCGCTACTAGTCTGCATAGAGCCTATCTTACAGTTAATATGCAATGAGGCACGATTCTGTGAAGTAGTTACAAAATGTGATAATAGTAAGTGAAATAATATAGTAATTATATATATAAAAAAATTAATGTAATAATTGTCTTTATTGCATATATTACACATAGTATACCTTGCCATGCATAACAATGGAAGCCAAGAATTAGATTCATGGAATTACTCCTGTTGTTGCTGATGCTGCTTCTGTTGCTGTTACTTAATATCCTGCAACATTTCAAATATTAGTAATGCTTTTACATTTACAGAAGTCAGTGATAACCATGACTTTGCCCAGTGCATGTTGCTGTCTGCAGTCATGAAGCAACTCCCATCCTGTGATGATGAGGCCCAGGCCATGTGGCTGGCACCTCAACACCTACCTCATGATGAGCCTAGGGTTAACATCCTAGAGGCTATGTTCTCATCAATCTCTGAATGTAAGTGATAAGTAAAAATACATTTAATTATTAAACAAAATACAGTTGTATACCATACATTAAATGGGAATTGTTAAAAAAAAAAAAAATTGCCTGAGAACCTCAGGATTGGAAGACAATATTGAGGCCTTCTTATATCTCTGAATTAGTGTAAATGAATAATTATTTAAATGTGTATATTATATTACATTAAATTTATAATCTCACCTCAATCAAGGTACTGAAAGGCAATTAATAGTGCTGAAACATAAGGTTAACTTTTTTGCAACCTGTCAACAATGCAAGCTTCATTGTCTAAGGAAGAAAATTTCAGTGTGTAGGTCTAACCTGACCACAAAGCTAAAAACCATAATAGATTGTAAGAAAAAAAATATTTGTAAATGATATAATAATAGCATCAAAACTATATTTCAAATGATTTGAAAGTCACATTAAGTCCATGTATATATCACATAAAAAAATGGGAAATTTAGAAAGGTGGAAGAATAGTTATAGATTTTTAATGCAGTTTGAATCTACTTCCAAATTTTCAGATGGCCTATTTATAACAAACTCTTGTTATAATATCAAATTATTAGGAATTTTAAAAAGCAATAGTGGAAAAAGGTATGGTGGGTGGGGGTGGGAATTTCAAAGCAGTACGACACAGAATGAAAAGAGGGTATTGCAAACTATTATGTACATGTCTGACTGTAGCAAAACGTATCATGTTTTTAGTTGGATGTGAATACTGACAATTGAAGAAAGATAAGAAAGTGCAAGCATATTGATTGAGTTAAAAGTAAGAAGAGAAATCTTCAATTTCAGTCGTTGATTGACAGGTCAAGCAGTTGGAGGTCGTCTAAAGATTTAGTATCTGTCATATAATTTTGAAAAAAAACATTGCAAGTTCAGTAAAACATTAAATAGCTCTAGAATAGAATTAAATGAATTATTAACTTCCAGTGACGTTAAGGGGAAAAAAATGAGAATGGTTTTTAGTAAGGGAAGGCTGTATTGTGCAACAGTTTTCATTCGAGTTGTGGTCGGGGTTTTAAACCATACATGTTGACCATTTTTTACTCGCAATACTTTGATTCCCCAGTCTGCGTTTATTGTTGACCAGCTATGAAGTAATTCTCTATGTGAAAGCATTTCATAGCATACATACATAAAATATGGAGCGGAGTGGAATAGCTTAGTGATTATAATGCTTGCCTTCTAATCCCAGGGTCCTGGGGTCAATTCCTGTCGCAGCAGGACTTCTCAGCATCTTACGACTCAAACAATTCCACTCCACAGCTATACAAATAGCTGCGATTTTAAGCATATACAGGCATGATATATCATATATCAGATCCATGGGTAAATCGAAGATATCGCTACCTTACTTGCTACAGATTTGATCCCTCTGATCTAAAGCCCTGTCCAGACTATCAAAAATGTTATTTAAAAAAAGAAAAAATGCGTAAATATGAGCGCAAAAAAATTTGATAGCGTGGACAGAAATTAGTTTGTTGAAGCTACATCTCAAAGTTATTCAGGTTCAACTAAAACTTTATAGTGTTTGATCAAAAAGATAATGATGCTGTTTATAATTATAGCAAATACAAGTTATTGTTACAAATTCTAAACTGGGCGCTCACTGCGTGGTATTACGACCGTCGTATGACGAATCCAACTCCGCTTCCCTGTGAGCGCTAGATGACAAGACGCAATATACTGATTGTCGGGTGGCAGTCTGGATATATTGTCATTAAAATTGACCTGTTGCGTGTGCGTCATGGCTTTGCGTTCTCCATAGAATTGCGTCGGCTGATGTCCGCCAGCTGCAGTTGGTGCCCGGTTTAGGGTATGAAATTTTACAAATTTATTTTTTTTTGTAGGCTACCCGGAGCTGACCCTACCTGTAGAATTACCAGGTGAGAAATGTGATGGTAAGCCTCCAGAGAATGTGAGCTTCCATCAGTACCTGGTCACCCACATCAGTGCTTACATTGCCTCGGTCCAAGCCAAGCATTTCTACCTGGTAGAGAGCGCTCTGTTAAAATGGTGTCTCAGCCCGCACACTCATGTGGCGTTGGTAGCTATGGATGTCTGGTGTTTTCTTGCAAGGTAAATGATTTAGTTTTATGTTCAGATTTTATGATATTTCATCCAATGATTTGTAAACCTTTAAAATTTCTTCTAATGGAGTTTTATTATTTTCTTTGTAGGTTATACCTGATACAGTAAGACGTCCATTTTACGTACCCCTTTGTACCAAGGGGTGTTCGTAAATTTTAAATTTCGTAAACTAGATCAGGTGTCAGTTTTCAATACCTAGGCCTAGCTATCTACTGCCATTGAGCGCCGACATGCTGACGGTGGCAAGGCCTAGCATGAGCCAACAGTGCAGCAGCGCGGTCTATTGCGCTAGAGCCTAGCTGAATTTACCTTCGATAAAAACCAAATTATTTTAATCGCTGGCATTCTTCCACTTAACAAAATATTATTTTAACTCTTGTTCAAACATCTGTATGTTTTATGGACCTTTCTATCGTGTTCTGTCTAGTTGTTAGATCGCCGAATTGTGTTGTTTACATGCATTTCGCAAACATATCTAGCATTCACAATGTCAATAAGTTGCTGACCCCAAAGCTGTTAAATACATAAAAAAATATTTAGTTTGCAAATGATTATATATTATTGTCACATATATATAATGTTTTTAATTAATTAATTTATATAGTTATAAACTGCACGTTAAACAAATTTAAGGGTTTTCATGTCTGTAAGTCATTGGATTTTTTTTCCTCTTTGACACGGAAAATTAATACTTGGTTCTTTTAAATATGTAATCTAAAGATTTATTTTAATCTTTTAGGGATTTCTTGATTTTTTATTTATAGTGTATCTATACTTAGAGTAGTTAATTTTACAGTAGGCCTATGTTATATATTAACCTGCATAGATACAGCAGTGCAGAGGTCTGTAACAACCATGTGAGGAGGTTGCTGGAAGTACTGAATCAGGTCCCCGCAGGACACCACAGCACACAGCATACACATCTATCCCTGCTAGTTGGCAGGCTTATTGGATTCATGACTGCAGGACACCAGGTAAACATCTTGTTTGATTAACAACAAATTTCAAATCTAAAGCTCTTAGGGACAATTAGTAGTTTTGCCACTTACTTCTTCACATGGTTGGGTAAGTCTGGTGGTGGCGGTCACTGTTCTCTGTGATGGTGGTATTATTTAATTCTTTGTTATATGGCGGAAGTGGTTTGGCGCAGTGCGAACCGTTTGGTTTCCCAACCTCGAGGTCGGGGATTCCATCCCTCGCTGTGCTCTTCCCTTGTGTCCTTGAGCAAGGCACTTTATCTACGTTGCTTCTCTCCACCCAGAGTATAAATTGGTACCTGGTGGGGTTACCTGCTACTACGCCAATATGGCAGCAACACTTAATCATGTCGACCCATTGACCAGGAAAAACAAAGCGCTTCTTAACCTAATGTAAAAGACACTATACTACAAATCCAAGGAAATATAACTGGTAGTTGAGACCATTTGGTCAGACATAACTAACAACTAAAGGTAACTCATAACCTACCCTACAACAACCAAGTTAACCCATTACCAACCTGCAACAGTCTAGGTAACCCATTACTCAGCCAGTTCAAACGTCATTAGCCTACTTTTTTTTTTCATGTAACTCCCAGCTTCTTTGATATCTCCTCCAAAGATTGGTTCAGTGTTATACTATTTCTGCTATACTGCCCTCAATATTCTAAATTTCACTATATTTTGTTATGACTTGCTGTAAAGTGGGTATAGTATCTTTTCCAAAATGACGAAATAATGGAAAAAAACCTATTATTTTTAAGCAGTTTTATAGTTTCCAACATCTATCATTAAGCCAGAAAGTATATTAGTTTAAAGGAACATGCTTAAAACAAAAATTTATTCATTCAGCTGTAATAGATTACCTCTTAAGCAGATGAATGTCGAATGAACCCACGAGAATATAAATGTGTACTTGTTTAGAGGTGAATGTTATGTTTTATTGGCAGCACAGTGCAAATTTTGGCGAAGCATGGATCAGTTGGCTGTTGTTTATTGTGGTTGGCAATTCTGGTTGGAAGATATTATAGGAGATTACATTAGTACATCACCAATACTAATCTCCCAGAACATGAAAAAGCTAATTTTTCGAGAGCCATTGGCCCCCCTAGACCCTAACCGGAGGCCTTTGACCTTCATATCCCCTGCCTCGGTTTTTCGATCCCCTCTGCAGTTGCTTACCGGACCCACCCCACTTTCAAACCATGCCGCCACCTATGAGTTGAATGTATTTGGTCTGTGCGATTCCCCAGGGCACAATGACCCGAGGATAATAAAATGTCAAAAGCACCATTAAAGATGTATTGTCCCATACTAAATATCAAAATAATCATAAAAATATTTTTTGAAATGAACTTGCCCATTTTGAAGTAACATAAAAGTTATCAACTTGAACATAGAAATTAGTGTTTTTAAAAAATGTCTACCCATCAGTTTACAGCGAAAAAAATTACAGGAACACTTCCAATCACTGAAAATGTTATTTTTATTATAATTTGTTTGTTTAAAAATCAGGGTACACATTTTTTATATTCAATAATTTCTATGCACAAGTTAATAATTTGTATGTTATTGCAAAATGAGCAAGTTTATTTCAAACTTTTTTTTAATGATTTTTTGACATTAGCTAGCAAGGGACAATACATCTGTAAGTTCTAAAATTGTATTTATTTAAAAGTTACATACAACTTTAGTTACATCGCCTACTGTAGCAGTCAAGAGAGATCTGAAGTGCTACATTTTTTATTGCCTACCACAGACCACTCTAAAATCATGCATCCTACTTGGTAGATCTTAGGGTACGGATAGAACTATATTTCATCTTTCACAGACAATTTAAATGGTCATGTTGCTAGATAATGAGAGATAAATGTTGACATACAAATTACTGTTTTAGAAACAGGTGCAAGAAAATAATGGAATCGGTAACAATTTTTATTTCTCTTTACCTCATTTATTACGTCTCTGGGATGTAAATCACTAAACAATGTAGCCATTTGGCAATGATGTTGTTTATATTCACTTTATCCCTTTCACCTCAATCTGTGATGATTTGTTTCAAAACTCATCCATTTTGATTGGTTTATCAATTTGAGCTGTCAAGTTGTTTACATTATAAGCAAAGATTTAACATGTTTCAATGAGTTTCTTAAAGGTGAGGAAGAAAACTTTGAATGTACTTTGTGTGTGTGTTTTCAATTTAAAAGATAAATTGCTTATTCCATATGAGTGTGATTTTACTTTTAAAAATTATAAATATTATTAACATATGCTCTAAAATTAAAATCTGGGAGTTTGTAAGATTTGCATTTAACAATTTTTATAAATGTACAGTAGTTTAAGACACCATCTTTTATACCTTACCCAGAGAAAAGATTTTAAGTCTGCTACTAAACTAATTCCTCCATGTTCTCACCAATTCTCATTGCATTAATTGTTTATGAACTTTTTATATTGCTTATTTTGTTTAAACTAATTGTCAGAGATTAATTCACTTTGCCTTTTGTTTATTTGCAGTTATTTTTTTAAGTTTT